CCTTTCAATACAAAAGCATCAACTTGCAACTGTTGAAATGGCTCGCCTCTTGCCAGAGTAATTCTGAGACTATTGTTTTTAGGTTCTAATGTACTGCGTGTACAAAAGATGGGGAGTTCTAGAAGGTTCATCTTTAGCGAGCGTGGGAAAGATCTACACCATCTACAGCAAATTCACCAACTCATCTAGCACCCGAGCAGCAATAATTCGTAAACGGATTCTACAACATGTACATGATACAGGTAAGAGAATAATTTACGAAGAAACCAATAGTAAATCGAAAAAGGAAAGGTATCCTTATTGTGACTAGTTGATATGAGATCTAAGTAGTATAAATATTTGTTAAAAATATATTTACTTTCCATAAATTAATACTGCTGTCTAGATACCTCAAAAAGTTTGTTTCACAAATTAGCGACGATTGAAAACGTTTGTGTGGTATTATACCTGTTTGTAAAGTGGAATGTTCTTAAACAATAATACCTGTGGTTTGGTGCAACAAGAGCCAATGTCAAAGTTCAAAGTTTTACACAATGAGCAGTTCTCCCTTTCGGCAGAAAATTGAATCAAAGTTACTTCTGTATATTTCACTATTTCGGTAAGATAATGTTCTTTAATACTTTATATGGTTACTATTAATTTTCTTAATACATTTGCATTAAATTTGAATCATTTAAATTTTTTTATGACATTATCCCTATTTGAGAACTTCAAAGATAGGTCTTGACCTGACGTATTCCCTACCTAGTAGTGTGATGTGGTGAGTTAGAGTATTATATTCTGCTTACTTAATGTATTAAAGGATAAAAATCAAAATGTGTGTGACGTTTTATCCATTCCTTATATTTCTTCAATAAATAAACTGTTACTTAAGCAAAGACAATGACTTCGAAAAAAAAGATATTGATGGAAGCCTATCACTATTTTCCTTTTTAAAGCCATTTTTCCAAATCTTCTCATGAATACATACTCTTCATTTCTTTGGTGTTTAATTGTTGCTTATTGCAAATGCATTTATGTACCTCTAGTTGCATTTACGTAAATAGAATAAGCCTCGGGTCTCCATAAAATTATTGAGTAACACGCGGCCGGTATCACGGTAATATCGTAATTAGTTACTTATAAACATCGGTTATTAACTGAAATTACAAGTTTCATACGCGTCCAGAATTTTCTGTATGTGGTTCTAATGAAGTTAGTAACTATATTACGAGGACAGAAAGTGAGCATTTGGCATATACATTTAACGAGTATGCCAAATAAACATCGTACATGATATGAACATTATTTTTAATTCAAAGTCATGGAAATATAAGGAATAGTATATAAATATTTGCAGGATACATGTTAAAAACTTTTAAGCTTTTCTAAAACTGTCGAACACAACCATTTTTGCGAGT